TAAAAGAAATTCGGAAAAAAGCAAATGGTTCTTACTTGCCAAAATATGAAAAATGTTTTATTTTAATTACTTTTGGAACTGAAACGAACTAAATGAAGCAGAAATGTAGTAATGAGCTGAAACTTTGATAAATTTTCCCTAATAACAAATTTTTAAAAAGATGTTTTTGAAAAAAGGGTTAAGTTCTTGTTGTAAGTTTGAATTAATAGCCAAATTCAACAACTGAAACCCTAATGTGCTTTCCCCTTCACTAATAGCCAACTTTAGCTAGAAAAAGCCAATTGGGCAATACTGACTCCCCAGAAGAACGATCCCAGTTGACCGAGCACACGCCCGCAGTATAAACAACTCAATTTGAATGCATTTAACCGCGTAATTGAGCCACGCGTCGGACAGCTACGCGTGCGCTATTTGCGGCCAACCCCGCCAAGGCCACTGCCACCCAATGCCACCCACTAATACCCACTAAAACACCCACCACCCACCCACTACTAAGCGTGGCAAATTGCAAACCAATTGGCATGCAACTGGTTTTTGGTCACAGGACTAATGGGAAAGGGAGCAGCCAGAGGAAGAGGAGGAGGAGAAGGACCAGTGGACCCGGCCCAGTCAATGCCCAGAAATTAGTGCGTAAATGTTTTCTCACCAAATAAAATCGGCGAAAAGGGCCAGAGTCGCGCACCGAAATGCCGGGCTTTGTGCCTCATTTCGCCACGCTTGCCGGGAAATTAACTGCGAATTATTCGGGCAGACGAGCCTGGGCGCACGTTCAATTTTGCTGGATTTGCGATGCCCTTCAGAGTGGAACGTAGTCCAATCATCCCGCCTGACAGGTGAGCCTGATCGGGATGATGATGAATTGGCAGCGCGTGCGATGCCTAAATGCTAATCAATTGACCAGCGGAAATATGGGAATCAGTAAGTGATCCGAGCTGTAGAAAATCAGAATTTCCAACTTCTGAATAACCTTTTGTGGCAGATTCTTTCGAACTATTAATATTAAATTAATGATGGGATTTTTCTAATAAGGGGTTGCTTTTCGGACAAAGGTTGACTTACACATTTAGGGCCAATCAATTTGGTCTTGTTTAATGGCTCATTAGCTTTAAATGTGGTAATTAGGTTGCATTCTACACCAGATCTAAGCTTGAATATTTTTTAAAACATTTTTAGAAGAAATTGAAGTGCAAAAGTTCTTTAGGATCGACGTTTCTATTAAATTTTAAAATATTTGTTTTTGTTTTTTGATTTGCAAGCCTTTCTTGATATTATTCCAGTATAAATTCTTCAAAAATATTCCTATAAGTCCAATTCGCAAACAAAATCTGTAGCTCTACTTAATGAAACGAATAGAGAAGAGAAGATACAAGGACGTCGAGTATAAAACTTAATAGTTTTATTAATATTAAAAGGGATTTTAAAGAAACCTCTTGCCGCCTTTTGGGTTTTGTTAACTCATCCTACAGAGACACATTTGCTTGTATCTTCCCCTTAATCGACCATAATAACATCAAATATAATTTGCAGCACAAAGGCCGTTTCTTTTTTACAATTTTATTGCCCATGCGCAATTTGAAATATTAATAGCCCGTTAAAACGGGAAGAAAACACCAACCGAACCAGTTAAGTTCGCGCAAACAATGCGAAGGGAACGCGTTACACTTACAGTTAGAGCGGCGACGGGCTTCAATATTACATGAGCACAAATTGCAATTTAATCCACAGATGTCAGCATTACGATCAGTGTCTCTGGGCCAGCCCTTTTGCACGTGTCCCGGGGTGAAGTGGAGAGGAGGCGGGGGCCATGAAGTTGAAAAATGGCATTAAAGTCACATTGACAATCATCAAAATGTGATTCGGCTGGAAAACAACAAAGGACCAAGAGCTGAACCCACCCTGTGGCGATTGTGACTCAAGACACATGTGCCTGCCAACCGCCCAGCCACCCAACCACCTACCCATCCGTTCCCTGGTGACACTTTAGCGTTTCCGGCCCTTCGTGCTTGCAACAAACCCCGCCCCCTCTGGACTCTTCATCAAAACGCTCTGCGCAAATCTGTCATATAACTTTGGCAAAAGGACTCTTGGGAGCTTGTTTATGTCAACTTCAGGCCATAATTTATATGAGCCCGCATATGTATAAAAATATATATATATATATATATATCGTATGGCATTCAGAGGGCGTGTTGCACTTATTAAATTTTAATTGCAAAGAGAAAAGCAGATGGAGGCGCCAGCAAAAGGCGAACTAAATGAACTAAACTAAGTCGCAACTTTATCAACCACTCCCAATTAGACAGGGAAACTTGTGCGGAGGAGTGGCATAGTTCCTTGGATCCCTATTTATCTCCGCCGAGGCAGAGTTTTTGGAGCGCACTCAGTCGCGAAATTGTCGCAGCAATCCAAATTCAATTAAACAAACACAATAAGTTTCGATAAAGCCGCGCCGATAAAGAAGACAAACTAAATATTCGCATAAAATTTACTAGCACCCAGGAGCACCAGCTCTGAGCGGGGTGGTTTCTCTTTTCAAGTAGAGAAGTGGGATTTCTCTAGAGAAGAGAAGTCAATGGTGCAGATTAAATGCTGCTCACACCAACGCAGCCCAAGCACATACAAACTTCCTAGGACGAGGACGAGGACGAGGATGTGAATGTGATGTATGCGTAATCTGGAGCAATTCAGGCGCATAAGAAGGCCCTTTTGGAAAAGCGTTAACAAAAAAAACTCAACTTGGAACACCAAAAACAGTACCCGAAATCGAATTCAAATTCACTGCAAACTCTCAGCTTGGATTAATGGGAAATGAGCGGGCGGGATATTCCAACGACTTAATTGTGTGAGTGTCGCGTTTTGATTTTCCGGAAAATCTTCAGAGAGAGTGACACCAAAAGTTCCCCCCAGCTTCCCTCTGTGACACTACGGATTGAAAAGCAATTGTCTTGGATTTGCGTCAAGGCGTTTGGGCCTCGTTAAGGGTAGCTTAACGCCGGTCGACTTCGGCGTTAATTTATCGTTTCACTGATTTGCTAGGCCTTTCTGGCCAGGCCTAATTTAACACCCCAAAGTGGATAAATTCTAAATCGTATTAGAGCTGAGAAAGCTCCGTTTAAAGTAATTTCTTGTTTCCCACGAACGAGGTTTAACCAAAAGTGATTTGAAGTTTTGGAGTGGAATGAGGATATATAATGTGCTTATATTTTATTTGATTAAACTTTAACTATTTCAGTAGCTTTTAAATGGTAATTTCTAGGGAATTTAAGTCTCAATACTAAAATTCTTGTAACCCTTTTCTTGACCGTATCAAACTGTGTTATTATTTACGTGAGAAGTTTGCAAAGCAGTAGAAGACTTTTCCAAACTTTTGCATCTAAAGGGTATACTCGTATATATTCTTGATCAGCTATTATATTTATGCCAGTATATGATAAAGGCCAGTAGATAAGAAAAACTTTCTTTAAAATGGAATAATTTTTGTCGGTCAAATCACGGAAAAAAGGAAAATTAATTGTATTTTTGGATAGTTTCAGGTTTGAACTTTGGATAACTGCATTTTTCTTCTTTTTGACTTTGTTATATCTTTATTAAAGATCATATTCAGTAATTGTAATATAAGCAAATACCCTTTTTCTTTCTACCATTTTCATTTCGAAAAACCACTTCTCCGAAAAAGGGCTCATGAATCTTCTCGACTTAAGTTTTTTTTATATTGGGCATAAAAGTGTCACTATTTTTCCAGAATTCGTATAAACATATATAAGACTATAAAAATCTACTTCATACAAAGTTAACATTTGTCCTACATATACATAACGACATTATTCTCTAATAAAACTCGTTGATTAACTTTATGGATTTATATTCCCTGGGGTTATTAAGCAATATTGTGAATTATGAGATGCAGATTTGATTGTTTAGAAAACCCAAGAGAATGCTAATGCAAACTGAAAATCTTGTCCCCATTTCGCTTCTCTTCCACTCTCCCACTCTCCCTCTCTGCGTCGTGAAAAGTTTTGGTTGGGAAATGTGTGCAACTAAAATTAGCATTTAATTTTATGCAAATTAAACAAGAGCCACTCTCTCTCCTTTCGCTGCTGTTTGAATTTGCTCACATGTCTGCAGCTGAATAATTTAGGGACTTACATTTACAGAAATTAACGTACACCAGAACGTCCTTGTGCATGTGTGGGTGTGCTGCGGCTGTGTGAGTGTGCGGTGCAAACAGGATTTGTGCGACTAATTGCAAAGTACTTAAGCAAAGCTTTAAACAAACGTAAAAGCAAAAATAGTTGATAAATTATTTAAGCGAAAAGGAAAGAAATGCGCTGGTAAAAAACCTCGAAATAATTCCGTATGCACCCGCAGAAAAAAACACTCTCGTAATAGATATGATGGGATTTTCCACAGGAATCCATGCGCTCTGTTTACTTTCGGACCTCAGTGTCAGCGGCAGGCGCAGTCAATCCGAATGACCGGTCATGCATGGATTTCTCGATTTCTGTTTCAATTATACGCATCTTGGCCCAAACACACACTCTGCCTGAGGCGATTATAATATCAATGGGCCGGAGGTGTGTGCGCGTGAATTTATTCATTTGCTTGTCACTGTTTTGACAACCTCTCGCCGCCCGACTTCACCGGAACAGGAAGATATAGCCACCCAGTCAGTCAGACAGAGAGCCAGCCAGAGTCGGCGGCTGCCAGGAGCATTGTGTCACCCAAAGCGGATTAAGAAATTTCGTATTCGCATCCGTTTGCCACATAATTGAGTGGCCGGGTGTGAGTGCCTGAGCCTCTCAACCTCTCAGCCTCTCAGCCTCTCAGCCTCTGAGCCCCTGATGGCAAATGAGAAGCAAATTTAAAATTTTACACTTGACTTAGCATTGTTGTCCTGCCATTTCACACGATACACATAAGCCCACACCTCATTTTTTTTTACAGCCATCCCCCATGGGCGAGTAACCATGTATATACATCCGCTTCTGGGTAGTTTTTAAAATGTTTATTTTTCACTTGACATTTATGCAATTTTTGGTTTGCTCTTTTTGATTTTGCTTGCCACTTAAACGCTACCTTGTAATTATGTATAATTTTTAATTCTAGATATGGCATTCGAGGTTCTAAGCACTAGCAGCTAGCATATTTATACAAGAACTATGTACAGCATTTAATCGAAGGAATCGAAGGTTAACAAAGGAAATCTCTGACCGAATACTAAACACACACACACACTTAAAGCAGCTTCACATTTACAGTTTATCCTTGCTGGCCATCGATCCGCTTCCGGCCGCAGGTCCAGCCGCGCACCCTTCCGTTCTGCCTCGCTTTTCGAACAGTTGCAACAATCGCTGTTGCATCTTGCAATTTTATGAGTGCGAATGGCTGAGGTGATGGGCGCCAAGGGGGTGGAAGTAGGGTCCGTAGGGTGGATAGGGCACGGCATGTGAGTAGAGGAGTCCGCTGGCATAGGCCCCTGGGCCAAAGGAACCGCCGCCGGGTGGTGGAATGGTGGGGGAGTTGACGTCCATGCCGGGGTTTTGCTTCTTCCACTTGGTGCGACGGTTCTGGAACCAGATTTTAACCTGGAAAGAGGAATGGCAAACAGAATTATTACAAAATGAATTCTTTAATCATAAAATCTATGAAATTTTCTTATGTAAGATTATTTTTCATAGTATTCAGATTTGATTATATAATAAATAAAATATATCTCTTACCTGGGTCTCCGTCAGACTCAAACTAAGAGCCAAGTTTAGCCGCTCGCAGACGCTAAGATATCTTGTGGTCTTGAACTTGTTCTCCAGTGAAACCAGCTGCTCGTAGGTGAAGGCAGTGCGGGCTCTTCGAGGCTTTGAGCCACCGCCTCCACCACCGCCGCCAGATTTGCCATCGCCATTGCGACTGCCGCCTTTTTTCGAATCCGTCTCGCTGCTGGGATCGTCAATATCGCTGCCATCGTCCATATCGTCCTGATCCATGTCATTGAGATCCTGGGCTGCAAGAGAGAAAAACGAAGATAGAAGCTTGATAAATTCCGACGTTGGTTTCTTTTTGCATAAGTCAACAGGCAGTGGATGGCCATCCATCACAGACAAATGGCAATGTCCCGGGGGATTGGCAAACGGAAATCAATCACCTCGACCACCGCATCATTGTTGGATTAATTGGAATTTTTCGGCACATGTTGGCGCACATGTGACTGCCGGATGACCAGCCCAGAGTTTTCGCAAAGAGACGAGAGAGGAGATGGAGTGTCTGGCTGCGTTGATTGCCATGATTCGACAATCAAAATTCAATTAAGGCAGCTCGCCAACTGACCAACTGTGTCCGTGGGTGTGTCTTTCGCTCAACGAAATATCAGTTACCAATTACGGGCCCTACATTTTGGCCTCTTCGATGGCGTTGTATTATGCAATCGTTAGCCGAAAATATTGTAAGCCGTTAAAAACTTTAGCTTGTTAACAAATTTCACTGCGGGCTCAGAGCAATTTTGCGGTAAACCCCTTTCAAAGCTCCGGAATCGATTCAGCCAGGCGAAAAAGGGTCGGCAGGCAAAAGTGTCAACCCCTTCGTCAAGGATGTTCGCGTTAGTCCTGGTAATTGGCCAACATGATTGGCCGTGTTTGCATGACATTAGAAGGGCAGACTGTTAGGAGGAAGAAAGTGCAAAGAGAGTGCGCCTAAAAGTGCACCACAGTCTGGCCGGCAATTAAGCCGAAAATTAACGTGAACGCTTCATTTAATATTTAACGAATTTTCGCGACTGCCTCTCCACAGATTGGGGCACTGCCATTACCGCTGGTAATGGGCTGTGGAGTGTTTGCAGGCACTTTGATATGCATTAATGGCACATTAGATGCTCGCCAGCCCCCATCAATACATATATCTAACCAAAATCAGTCGACGACTGGCCCTGACCACAATTGGTTTGAGTCAATTGAATTAACAGAGCTACCCCAATGGAAAACCAACGGGTGAAAATCGACAGACAGCTTAATGCGCTGTCAAACAAATGCGGAAAGTTCAAAGGGCAGTCGGGGATAGGGAGGTAGGGAAGGGAGGCCTGGCTAATAAGCGTTGCAACCACAATTTTGCAATGGGCGAGCGAGGGCGCCTAATTATGCTGACCATTCAACTAAGAGCTGCAACGTGGCGTATGCGTGATGTCTGGCATTAAGGAAAAACGGAAAAACCCGCCGGACCAAGATCAATATTTGTGCTGACTGGGAGTAACGTTTAATTAAACTGAAAGGATTATGCTAATTTGTGTGCGGTAATCTCGAATGTGTGGCAGGAAGGTCTTCCCTACAACTTTTTACGATGTTTTAAATATTTATTTATAAGTCCTTAAAAATAATAAATTGTTTACTTTTAATTTAAAAACAGGGATATAATGAGTTAAAAGATAGCCAGAGAATACAGTTTTCCAAGATGATTTCTTTAAGTTTACCAAATGGTTTACCTAATTGATTACTAGTAGAAAGTGGAATAAGAAAGTAGTTTTATGAAGTAATCAGAAGACTATATAAACCCATTATCTTTAGAAAAGAACAGCATTCGAACATCAACAATACCAAAGAAGAGTACATAACAATCCTAATTACTTAAGATTTTTCCACTAATTTAAAGCCCTTATTTAATCTGCATTTTTCGCCACGTTTAAACTTGATCTCCATTAAAAGCCAAAATCATTTCGAAGTTCTTATCTGTCTGGCGTCTGCCATTAACAAAATGGCCGCTGTTAATTATAATTATGGCGAAAGCACTTCATAAGCAATTTTGATGATATGGCAAAGAGGCAAAGGGACTGAAAAGGGAGAGAACCACATGGGGAGTTTGACTTGCCGAAATGAAAGGACAGGCAGAAAGGATAGCTGAAGTTACAACATATAATTTAAACTTAATTATGAAATCCGAGTGTTAATTACCACAAACTGGCGCATAATTTAGCCCACACACACACACAGAGGCGCAGAGACTGTCCCGAAATGGCTTATAAATTTGAAGTTCTTTGTGTTGGGGCAATCATTGTAATCGCATCCGCCTGGCCAATGCGACCCCGGGGAGCATTTGTCGTCTCATTTTGCCATTTTCATAAAATAATAAATGAGTTGCTGATGGACGGATATTCTCGTAAAAACGAGCCGAGCTCTCTGGTCTCTGGAAATTGTCGCTTAACTTGACTTTGTGGCAACGGCAAGAAGGCGAAATGGAGCTCGTCATTACACTTACATACACACACAGTCAGGACTCCCCCGAGTCCTGTCACCCATACAAACGAATAGTGAGTTAAAGAGAGAGTGAGAGAGAGAGTAAAAGCGTAAGAGAAAGAGAGAGCTCAACAAATTGAGTGCTGAAAAAGAATAAAAGTTTTTCGCAGCCATTTTACATTTTTGTTTCGGGGGTTGTTTGTGCTCCAACCTCGTTGCCATTCCGTTCCGCCCACATTTAAATGTTGGCCACCCCCAGATTTCCCTGCCCCTCCCCCATCCCGTCTTCCACTTGGTTATCGCTTGTTTTTTCATATGACTTTTGGGGCGCATTTCAGTTGCTTTCCTGGCTATCTGGATTATGCAGACAATATGTGGCTTTATTGTTGCAAGTGTGTGCCTAGCTCGTGTTGTTAGTTTTATGTTTTGCAATTTAAATGAAATGCAAATTGCTGCGCCTAAAACGCAATGAATGGCGCCTTGGAGAATTCAAAGCCACACACGGGGCGTATGCGTAATATTTTCTGAATAATTAACCAGCTACTGCAGTTGTCAAGTTAGTAAAATGGGAAAGGAGTTGGCCGGCCACATAAAATCTAATTAGTCGCACTGACAAAGGGTAGCATAATTACGCTAATCCAAACCGAAGCCAAGGCATTAACACCTCCACCCAATAGGCCATAAAACAAAGGGGAGAGGCGGGGGGGTTGAATTGGAATCTCTGGCTGTCTGAGTGTGTGTGACAGCGCCATTGAAGCACCTAATGAATGTGCGGTAATTAAGTACCTTGCTAATTAATGACTACAGCAACACCAACCAACAATCGTTGAATGCCAGACGGCAAACAGTGCGTATGCGTGATGCACACACACACACACCCTCGCACTTGACTGTCTGTCTATATGTCTTTCGCCCTGTTTGCAAGTGTGTGTGTGTGTGTGTGTATCCTGCCTAGGGGTTGCTGTAAACTGCCAGCAACATAATTATTTCCAACATCATTATCGTGGTAAAGTTTCCCCGGCTGTGCCTCCTGTCTGCCTCCAATTCAGTGTTTGCAACCACTCGACTTCATCGCCACATCCTCAACCCCCTTTCATGGGGTCGTTGGCGCGACCATTGAGTCGGTTTTATTAGCAGTTATGTTCCCAGCAGCCGCCCGCCATTGATGAAGTTAATTGTGTTTTATTAACACAAACACAAATGCACAAACAGCAAAGCCGACAACCAGAAATGGCCGATAATGTGTCGTTGATAATGATGATGTGGATGTGGACGTGGATATGGATCTGGATGGTGGCCATGCCACTAAGGCCGGCGAAACATCATTTCCCGGTGTTTATAATTTCCTACATAAGCGCTTAACGAATTGGCCATTAAAAGTAGTGGGAGTTCGGCTGTTTAAAGCAGGTTAATTAATTGGCAATATAAATTTACCATTGCTTCTTGGATAAACACAAATACAAGAGTTTCAAAGAGATGAAAGAGAATGGGTTATTAAAGAGGGGCCGGTATATAGTCGGACCTCGAGAAGTAATGTAAATGCTACTCTATAGTTAATACTTTGATGAGGAGAATATCGTTCGTTGAAAAACTTTCGGTCAAAGATATATTACTAAGGACTGATCCCTGGATATGGATCGATAGTAGAGTGGAATTACTATGCATACTGTTGTAAATATGGAAATACCGATTATTTTACAGGCCAACCAGGCCTTATTTGGAAAGATCTTGATGAAAGGTGATACCGTTTAGTTACTTTACTTAATTAAAAAGAGTTGCTTGGAACCTAAACATAAATCTCCATAACCATCCTTAGTATAGTAGATGAACCTCTTTCTCCAACCCTTAAAATTTGTTTTCTCCCAACTTAAAATCATTTCCAAACCCATATCCAAACCCATTTACCAAGTCAACTCGTTTCATAATCAGATCATGAGGAGCGTTCAAACAAACCGCACCGAACTTCAACTTAAGCTCCATCACTCCCGCCGCCCCAAAACCCATGAGACTGAACTTCTTTTTCCTGATTTTGGCGCTTTGGCCAGCGGCTTAGCGATGGTATCGCCATGCCCCCATACCCCACGCCCACAACAACTTCAATCAAATTTGCAAATTTTTATTTGAGCAATTTCTTTGCAACGAGCCAAGCATGAAAATCAATTAATTTTCAGCAAAATTTTAGCCAGCCACCGAAAAAAAACGAAAAAGGCAGCAAAGGCATCGAAAAAATCATTGGAAAACCCAAAACCTGATCCGCAGCAAGACAAACAGTTCGAAGAGAGAAGAAAAAATACAGAGAGAGTGTAGAAAAAATAGGAAATATAGCTTACCAGCTGGCAATGGCTTTTCCCCAATTAAAACATCAATCAATCAATTAAAAGCAATTCTATTGAAAATCCTTATTGGATATGAGTGCAGCTTTTTGGTCTAAACAAGTTTGCCTTCAAAAAACGAAGAGTGCCAGTTACCAGCAATTCGGAGATCCGTTTCTTTTTTTTTTTGGTTGCTTTGGCATTTGCGCATTTGTTTGCCGTTGAATATACCCAAAATATACATAAATGCTTTCATGGCCAACATAAACACACCACCCAACAAACCCCCCCCAAAGAACCAAACACTCTTACCTACGTGACTTGCGCCTGAAAGCAGGCAATACGAAAAATCCCAGGGCCTGCAAAATGGCTGGCAGCTTTGCTAGCTTTTTGAGGGGTGCGGCTGGCAAAACGGAAAAGCAAATTCAAAATCAAAACATACCTAAAAACGATACAAGCAGCAGTATAAATATAACATTCGCCACCCACCACCACCCACAGCCATCCTGGCAGAAAAACAGGGAAAAAATCAGGATGAGAAGCCAAACTGTTTTGCAGGTGTTCTGCCCACAGCCTCCCCTTTTTATTGGCCATGTATGTAAGCACGAAGGGGTGGGTACTCAAGGGGAATGTCTTTAGTTGGCGTGCCCTGAATTTCCATCGCTTTCAATCAAATCAGACAGCTAACCATCAAAGTGATTTGCGATTCATCGGGCGTGAAGTCTAAATCAGTTGAGAAATGAATAGCTCTACTCACCAGACATATCCTCGCTTTGATCGTCATCCAATCTCTCCTGCATCTCCTCATCCCTCTCGTAGCTCCACTGCCTTGGATGGCCAAAAGGACCACTGGGTAGCTTGTTGCCCGTGAACTTGTTCGGATCCAGGATGTTCTCCACGGAGAATGCCAGACGCTTGGTGGCCGCATCTCGCTCACTGGAGGCACTCGTCGAGGCGGAACTCGGATTTGCCGGGGCATTACTGTTCACCGATCGGGTCAGATCAACGGGACAGACCTAATAGGATATAGTATGGATATAGATGGTACATTATATGAAACGACTACGAAAGAATGATTTTAATATTACGTAATATTTCATTTTTTAAGATCAAGGTACCTCTCTTTTGAGGGCAACATTATAAAGTGGACTTTGCCAGAAATACGGCTTGAATATTTTTATTTTGTCTTCTAACAACATTTTTAAGTGGAATGTAATCGGTGTGACAGATCTCAAAAGCTTAAAAATTGTTTCTATACATTTAAGAGCATTTTAAAAGTAGTAAATAATTTAGTGATATATTTGGCAGAAACCTCAATGACGAACGTTTTCGATTGTACATTCAAATATTAATTTCTAATATTTTCGAAAACCGAAGAATAAAAAGCCAAAATAAATAACTTTAATTCAAATTTTCAAAATTAATAATTTTGTCAAAAACTTGAAATTGCCAATCTTAATAGCCAGTTTCAGTTTTATTTATTTTGTATGTAAGACATATAAGACATTCTGGCAGAAGGCTGAAAATGTGTTCATGTCAAAATATTATACGATATTGCAACATCAATTTGTTAAGGAATTTTATTATTGAGGAATTTATGAGATTGATTTGATTATGCTACTAATTTAACTTTCAATGCCCCATAACAAAAACCAAGCTATAATAGAGAAGGAAATATCACGATTTTATACATTCGAAATTTTAGAAATGCATCGTCCGACTATAATTTACATTTAGTATAGGTAAACATATTAGTTTCACTTTCGAAAATTATACATATAATCTGTTAGGCGGCTTATTTCAGTTATATAACCTTAAAACTGAAAAAAGCTTCATCTGGGATAGGATATACCTAAGATATTCCTATGGAATATCTTCATTCTCAAACATGTTCTATCATCACTTACCGACGGCGTGCTGTGTGATCCATCGTTGCTATCCTCGTCATTGCCATCGACATTAAGTTCCTCGCTGGTATCGCTCCTTGCGTAATTGGCTGCAGCAATCTGCCGCGAGGTGGCTGCTGCAGCCGCCGCCGCTGCCGCCAGACCGCCCAGCTGTATTCGGAACCCATAATCACTGAGATCCCGTCCACTGGGTGATCCGGAACTGGAGTTGGAGATGGAGGTGCTGGCATTGGAAACGGAGTTCGAAGCAGAGACAGAAGTGCTGGGAGCTTGAGTAGTGCGAGCTGCCACCGCGGCCACCAGCTTGATCCGCTCGAGATCCATGTCCGATGGTGGGGCAACCTGCTGCTGTTGTTGCTGCTGCGAGGAATGTGGCGGATTCTGGGGCGGAACGATGGGTGGGCTCATCTGCTGGTCGGAATGCATGGCCGGGGAAGTGGGAGGCGAAAGTGGCGAAGTGGCCGGCGAAGGTGGGGCAGTGGTACTGCTGGTGGGAGCCCTCAAATGAAAGACAGCCGCCGGATGAGGATGAGGAAGTGGATGCGGATGCGAGTGCGGATGTGGGTGCTGAAGATGCTGATGATGGTGCATATGTTGCTGGGCGGCGGCCAGAAACTGGGGATTCTGCAGCAGGTGTGGATGCTGCTGCAGCAAGGCGGCATGTGGGTGCTGCAGTGGCTCCGGTCGTGCCAAATGGCGAACGGCATTTAGTTCCAGGAGTTTCCGCTGCTGGGCGGGTGAGGAGAAGCTCACGGATCCCACCGCAGCTGGCGGAGATTGCGAGCGCCGAGGATTGCTGTTCGCATTGTGGTTGGTAAGACTGCTGTTGTTATTGTGATTGGGTTTCTCCTTGTCCTGAGAGTCCTCCTGCAAGGGACTCAAGCGGCTGAGCAAGCTTCCCGATTCACTGCTCATTTGCTTGAGCCGTTCCAAAGAGTATCTCAGCTCCTGTTCCTGCTTGCCTGCCACTGCAGAGCCATTGGCACTGATGATGAACTTAGGTATCTTAGCAGCTGGCGGAGTAGCTCCGCCACCTGCTCCACTGGAAACCACGCTGTCCACACTAGCCACTTCCGGCGAGGTGTTGGACTTGGGTGAATCCGGATTCGAATTGGGACTCATCAGGCCACCGACGGCTGTGTTCTGGGCAGATGCACTATCGCTGGCCTTTTGCGCCGGCGATTGCAACATGACCATTTTTGGTTCTTTGGGAATATTGTCTTGGATTCACTGGTCTGTCACTAAAAAGTTCACTGATTCTGTTCACTAGCTGTGTTCATTCACTGCGCGATGCGTGTCCTGTCACCTTGAGGGCAGCCAATCGACTGAATCTGGATCTGCCAATATCCGATGTGGACGCTATACTGCCACGGACCTACTGTGCTCCGATGTCCGATTATCCTGGGCGTAATCCGCGCGCGCCACGACTCACACGCTCAAGAGCCAGAAGCGTAATGATGATGAGGGTTGTTTCAGTCTTTCTCGGAGTTGTTAATCCAACAGATGTGTTGTGTGCCTGTGGCAAGTCAACTGCTAAATGCTGCTGCTGCTACGGCTACGGATGGTGGTTCTGCTTTTGGTTCTAGTGGTGATGATGATGGTGGTGGTTTTCACATTGAGTGACTCTCTGTATGGGCACTCTACACGCCCACCGCTGCTGAGTGGTTCTTTGAGTGGATTGGCTCCTCCCCGCCGTGGCTCTTATCTCTACTAGCATCTAATGATTTAATTTGCCTTCCACTCGTTAGCAAATGTAATGGTCTGTTGCAAGTCTAAGCCACAGAGCATCAGGATCTGACACACACAGAAACAGAAACAGAGAGAAAGAGAGAGAGAGAGAGAGTGTGGAGTCCTGTTTTACATAGTTCTTCACTCAACTGTAATAGCCATCTGATGGAAACAAAGGCTAACCAGTCATCTAGCTAGCCACCCATCCAGCCAGCTAGCCAGCCATCTAGCCTTCTCCTCCCGAGGATGTGAGTAATTGTCAAATTATTTAGCGCAAAATTTGTTTGTTTATGCGGTTGGGTGCTTCCGAAATGGATCTCAACTTTTGGTACGTTCCTCTCTTTGTTTTTTATTTATTTTTTTAAGCATTTCTAGTTATATATATTTTCCCGCTGTGTGTGCTGAGTTTTCCTTTTGCTTATGGCATGCCTGGTTTGTTCTTAGTCATTTATGCATGAATGCTTTGTGCTTTCTTCAGCTTAATTGAATTTTAGAATATTTTTGCGGCCATAATTATGTTGCTAATTAGTTGGTTTATTTACTTAATTTTTTCTTTTTTCTCGAAATGAGAAAATCATCTTGCCTCCTTGACACTTCCTATGTAAAACTCAAAGTGTTTGAGGAGGACAGACAAACTATGCCGGAACTCTTCTACTCCTGCTCTCTCTGTCGCTCTGCGGGACTTTCTCTCTCTCTCTCTCTTTTGCTCCTGCGCTTGCTCGCTCTCGGGAAAATTCTTTTAAATTGAACAAAAATTTATATGCGCTTTGGCACAGACGATTTAATATCGCATCCAATTTGCGGTTTATACGCATCGCAGCAGTGGCCTTCAAGGGGGCGGGTTGGGTGGCTCGTTGGTTCGCTGGGGATAGGCCACTCGGCTCTGGGTTTTCCTTTTTATATTCTTTACTTTTTTTCTTACTTTGGGTTCGAGGGAACAATGGGGCGTATAAGTGACATCGTTAAGTGGACGCTGGGTGCTGCTTAATGAACTCCGACGATGGAAAGTTGGGTGTTAGCTGGGATCTTACTCCTCCAATATATAGTATATCTATATTCACTGGCTTTATTCCAAGACTCGTTAGCACGGCTCGTCTTTTCTCTTCTATAATTAACCACAGATTCGAGGGGGAGGAAGGCAACGAGGATGCTTAATGAGCAGCTTGTTATGCCGTTTTTCGTTTTAATTAGTTTTAAGATGCTCACCACCAACACCAGAGCGTCGGGCACTCATTTTAATTGGCCCATTGATGGCGGGCCCTTATATATATTTACTTGATTCTGCACTTACCGAATTATCTTACTCCATTGCTTATCCCCCTGAGTAGGGGCTTACTGCAAAGTGAACCCTTTTCTCGCTGTGTAATAAGTGCTTAACTCTTTTACATGCAAAATTAAATGATGCGCATACGCACGGTAAAACCGCAAATTATTTTAATTGCTTGTCTCGTCATTATTCATTATTTAAGTGCGCTCAAACAGCCGACGTATACGGAATACGTTATAGCCTGTGCATATATGTATATATATATCCTATACACGAGTGTGTGTATAGGATGTGTGTGTGAGTGAGTGGGGCCGGGAAAATTGGCAGTCCGCCAGACACGCACACACGAAAGCCGCTGTTTACATAGACATCAAACTTTTTGCGCTGCGGAAAAGCGGAAAATTGCTCTTGCTGTCGCATGTGGCCTGCTCGCTCTCTCACCGTCTCTCTCTCTGTCTCTCTTTCTGATGTACTTACTCTTCCATTTAATTAGTGAAAATAAGTATTAAATGAGCAGCTCTTGTTAAAATAAATAGTGCATGCAATGGCGGCAGTTTTCCCGCCCCCTGTACTCGCTCTTCCACGCTTGGCTTTCAACAGGCCGTGCAAGATTTACAACTAATTAAAAGGCAAATAAAAATGTACAGGGAGGTGGAAAATCGATAAGCTGTTAATATGAGCCGCTGACCTCGGGACAAAAGGCAATTAAAAGCACAGGCGGCCGGTCATCTGCATAATTATGCGATAATTAAATTATTGCCAATTTATTTATAGGATATTCCCATTTAATACACCGCTCGGCCCTAAGCCTGTGTATCCCTTGTATTTGTATATTTAATGAAGTGCGAGGGAGATGGCCTCCATTTGAGCTTCGGCCTCCTCGCTCCCCGCAAATTTCCACCGCCCCGCTCGCTCTGTTTATTCGGCCATTTTGTTGTTTGCACTCCACTTGCCGTAAGCCCCACGTTAATTTGTTTGACTAATTAAACTAATGAGCGTTCAAAGTTAATACATAAATTAGTCAGCCAGTCGGGGTAAGCTCTCAAACTGGGCGAAAATGGGGGAGTGGCGTGGCGGCAGCTGTTTTAGATTGCCTAAGCCCGGCTAATTTGGCTGTCAAATAATTATATCATTTAATAAATCATCGGATTGGATTTCGCTTGGTCATTTGTAAATTTTATGACTCGGAAATTTGAGTTTAACTAATTGGAAGTGTAAATTGTAAATGGGTGTTAGAATTTTTAGCATGTTGGCATGTATCAAATTTTAAATAATATTTTCACACTTTTGTAGGGCGTTTTAATGTTTTTGCTTCTGCTTAAGTTTAGGAGGTTCTATTTCTTTCTTTTTTCTCGGTTTGTGAGAATTTTAAATTTTATGTTTTAATAAAATAAAACTTATAGAAAGTCCGAGTAAGTTTAATAGGTATATGGATAATAATAATAATTAACTATAAGAACGTGTTGTAAGTTAACTTTTAACTATATAGCCAAATATTTATACTCCAAAACTATTTTTAAGTTTAAAGTCTTTATTTTCATATTTTTGGTTTGGATATATAAAACATGATGAATACAAAAACGTCTTTAAATAAACTACAATGAAGAACACTGAATGAACATTGTAATATTTAAATCTAATTATTATGATGACTCATTTATGGGTAAATTGTATGTTTAATAAAAGCTGTTTTTCTGGAAAGTTGATAACCAGTTCTTTCCTAAACACCAGATTACCCAATAAGGCAGCTTACATCCTTAAACACCTTAAACACTCAGAAAATTCAACTCCCCTCACGTACAACTCTTAAAACCCTTTTCGCTTTGAGTAATTTATCGATCGAATCTTTACTAAACTGTGGTTTTTTTTCCTTTGCCATTGGCTAATCGAATGTGTGCCTAATCTGCATTAAAAATGTGCACCTAAAAGCCCATTAGCCCATCATTCACTGGCCGCCGCACCCGATGGGCAAACAAGGACCAATCGCCGTGGTTGTTGTTTCTGCGAGTACGAATTAAATATGCTGCGCTAATTCCTCCATCAATTTGCAGCTCATTTCATATGCCAACCCATTTCGCAGGCCATCATCGGCGACGTCCTCGTCGTCGAGGGGCATGGAAATCGGCAATGGACATGAACGTGGACCGCTCGAAATGCCGCCGGGCAATCGGCCGGATGAAAAGCGGATACCGATGGGGCGGGAAAACTAGTTTGCATTCAGCTTGTGCACGTAATTAGAAAATTTCCATTTTAGAGAGAGAGAGGCAGGTGGCGTGGGGCGGCTGGTCAGAATGAAAACAAAAACAGAAACGTGCTAATTGCAAATTAATTATGCACGATATTGAATTTGGACTAAACGCAATGGCGGAAAACGGAAATCGGAAGTGGGAAATGGTAAAGGCCAGGGTAGCCATGGAGCAGTAAAGTGGAAAAGCGGGGAAAACGTGATTTGCATGAATGCCTGAATTTGCCAGATTTTTTGTTTTGCTTGGCGAAAGTATCTCTCTCTTTCGCCTCTAATGGCCGACACGATTAAGTGTCCACAACAGCGGCATCAGCATATAAACAGCTAAAGTGTTAATTGCCATAAATGCTTGTCATTGTAGCGGTAAACGTTGCTAGATACTGCGCCAGCGCTCACCCACCCACACACACACTAGCAAACACACAAGAGAGCCAGAGCGGAAACGGAAACGGAAAAAGGAACGAGCTGGAGCAGCAGCGGAAAAGCATTTAGGAAGCGCACATCTCTGAGCACTTGCACTCAAATGAATGAAATGAACTGCTAAATTATGCACGCGATTTAACCCTCATTTTGCCAGCCGCAACTTGCCCCTATCAGCCCACCCAGCCATCCAGCCACCCACTTATCTCTCACTCTCTTTCGGTCTTTTATTTTTCCCTCTCTTCACGCAAGCGCTGTGTTCTGAAGGCATCTCTCCCGCTCAGAAGAAAGCAATCCCAGGCCACGCCCTCATTTCCACAGCCAATGAGTGAAATCACTCGGCACTCAAATCTTTTCAACATGGCCGCCAAATGGAAAGCACTCAAAGAGCAAGAGAGAGAGTGAAGAAGAGAGAGAGAGAGCGTTTCCCCTACAACATTTGTCGTCCTTTTGCAGACTTTTTGCACCTTTTATTTTGTCATTTGTGTGTAATTTCGGAAAATGTTGGCGACATTATGACGCTCGACGCCAGTTGGGCCGGGGGTCGCACGCTTAAGTGTCCTCCAGGGTACTTACTTCGTTAGCAGAAGTTTCTCACCCTCCCTCCTCCTTCGTCCGTCCTCCTTTCACCAGGATCCTTATTGTTGTTTTTGTTGTTGTTGTTGTTGTTGTTGTTGCTGCGGTGGCGCACTGTGCTTGTCGTTTTGCGGATATGTCTCTTATTTTCATAACTGTAAATTGCTTTAGATATTAAGTCTGCTGTACTCGCTGTGGATTTTCCAACGCCACTGTGTGTGTGCGTTTGACACTGAAAGGAAAATGGAGGGGAGGATGCTGCACGGAGAAAAAGAAGACTA